ATGAACCAGGCATGGCAAAATCTTGAGCCTCCTCACTAACAGGCTCACAAGCACTCTCTAAACAAGCAGTGAAACCAGCTGCCCAGCCATCAAAAAGGGCACCTACTAAGGGCCCTCATGTAACAGAGGCATCACTGTCACTAATGGCACCTGGGATGCTGTGGGCACACTCGCTATCCCCGGCACAGTGTGAACCCCCAGCGCAACCTTCAGCACTGGCGCTGAGAAGTGATGGGGTAGCTGCAGCTTCCTTTCAGTACCTCACACTAACCCTAGATCCCCTGGGGTATCAACTGCTACCATGCCACCACTGCAGGTGCCAGCGGACTCAGCCACGGGACATAAATCATCATTCCACCGCCATTCCCCAGTGTGCAAAACACAAGCTCCACCAATACCTGACAGGAGAAGTAGAACCAGATCCACCACTGAGCCTTAGGCATGACACCGTTCACTTTCCCCATTGTCAATAAAGGGCTTGCTAGCTGCACCACGCTCACCTGCTTTATCACTAGTCAGTGCCTACTGCGGGGATATGAGGAGTATTTTCTCCTTGCAACACTCCTCCCCTGATAGAGCACATGCATCATATGGGGCATACAGGCTACCGCCTTCTCCATATCCCCGTGGCACCCTGATTGGCAGCACTATTCCAGGCATAATAGCCGATGGTCCCCCTATCGCTACTGGGCACCACGACACACCTCCAGCTGCTCCTCCTACACCTGCACAGAGGTCACAGCCCTCTATACACTCAGATCCATTGCATTCCCCATCTGAGGGCTCGGATTCAAGGAAGGGCAGATTGAGAATGATCCCACAGTCAGAGATGCCACCAAACTGTAACTCCTCTTTACTCCTGATGAAGCGGTTATCTCAAATGATCCAACACCTAATGACGACCTCAAACAATTCCAGGACTTATTCAAAAGAGTGGCACTCAGTCAGGAGGTCGTCTTATCAGAGGTGCAGGAAAAACACCACAGGCTTTTAAAGAACCTGCAGCCCTCTGCAAAATCCAAAATTGCTCTGCCTCAAGATGAAGCAATACTTGAGGCAGCTGTTGAAATATTGCAAACACCAGCCACGGCTCCCCTACCCCCACCCCTCCAACCAACAAAAGGGCTGATAGAAAGTACTTTGTCCCATGAAGAGGCATGGACTTTCTATACTTCCTTCCTCCCTCAACCCTTTTCTGTGAAGATCCAAAAACCCTCAACACAAAGCACATACACTGGACAAAGACCACAAACACCTGGATGTCTTTGGGAAGAAAATGTACTCCTTCTCAACCCTTCAGCTTTGCATAGCCAATTCCACAGCACTACTTGCCAGTCATGATTTTGATAATTATGCAAAACTAACAGAGCTCATGCAGCATCTCGCAGAGGACAAGAGACCAATCCTTAAAGCGGTCATTAAAGAGGGTACTATATGCTGTACAGCTCTACAAATGGTCCTCAGTGCTGCAGATACTGTGGCAAGAGCTACTGCAGCGTCTGTAGTAATGAGGCATGCATCTTGGCTTCAAGCAGCCAGAGTCCCTAAGGATCTCCAGGCCAAAGTAGAGGACCTGCCATTAGATAAAGCCAAATTGCTGCAGGGACCGACAAAGGCTTGCACTCTAGCAAAGATTCGCGCACCACCTGGCGCACATTGGGGATGTACACTCCCCCCACCGAAGGGTGTGTAGCACTTCCTGTCAAACTACAGGGATACAGCCTTTAGCAGACAACAACAATATCGACCTTTTGAACAAAACTGCTTTCGACCATGGAACCAACGCAGAAGAGCTCGAAACAACTGCTCTTCTGCGACTCAGGCCTCTAGACTGCACATTTGATAATTTGGTCGCAGGTCTACTCAACCTCCCTTCCACATCAGTACCAGGCAAGGCCAACATATTTCACCACCACTTGTGCCCCTTTTATAATCAATGGCCAGCAATCACTACAGATTGTTGGATCTTAGAAATCATCATCCGTGGATATTTTATCCCTTTCACAGAAATCCCCTCAAATCTCCCCACCTTCTCCCTCCCTCTTCAGGGACCCCTCTCACAAAACATTGCTCCACCAAGCAGTTCAACGCCTTTTCAATATAGGAGCTATCGAACAAGTCTCCAAACTAAGGATGTTAAAATGTGGTTAATTGACTAGTCGATGGAATTTCCGTCAACTAGTCGATAGGCACTTCCACATTCCTCCTTTGAAATGTACAAGAGCCTCCGCTGGGGCTCCTGTACATTTCAAAGGAGGAATGTGGAACTCTGCATACAGCCCGGGGCCAGCGGGAAGTCCCACTGACTCCGGGCTGCACACGGGTGCCTGCTTTGAAATGCAGGGTCTCTTGTGCATTTTAAAGCCATGGAGCCTGGTATCCATGGCTTATCGGATAGTTGACTAGTCTTTTACATCCTTACTCCAAACAATACGAAAGGAGAGGTTTTTAGTCCAACTACTTTCTCACTGAAAAGAGAACGAGTTGAAGGCCTGAACAGGGGTTGAAGGCCTATCTTGGACCTACATCAGTTAAACAAATACATTCACAAGCAATGTTTCAAAATGGTAACTCACCACAATATTTCTGGCACTGGACAGGAGGGACTGGCTTGCAACCCCTCAACCTCCAAGATGTATATTTCCACATCACAATACATCCCTTGTACAGATGTTTCCTATGCTTCACCATAGCCTCAAGACTGTTTTCAGTACAGAGTCCTTTCATTCGGACTCTCCTCTGCCCCCAGAGTCTCCTCCAAGACTCTGGCGGTTACAGCAGCACATCTCAGATGCAATGGTATCACAGTCTTCCCTTATCTGGATGATTGTCTTATCCGAGGTCCCTCCCAGCAGACCACAAAGGACACAATCAGTTTCATAAAGGCCTCTCTTCAGTTTCTAGACTTCATTATTAATGACTAAAAATCCACACAGTTCCTAGAGTTCATAGGGGCTCACATAGATTCAACAGCAGCACATGCCTATCTCCTGAATCACCAATTCGACCAATGTAAGAAGCCGCATCACGATTATAACCACCAGCCCAACTGTCCCTATCCTAACTTGCCTCAAACTCATGGGGCATATGGCAGCCACCACATATGTTGTCCCATATGCCAGACTGTGCTTTTGATGTTTCCAACACGGGATTTCTTTAGTTTATACACTGGCCAGCCACCATGTCCACAGGCACGTTTCGCCCCTTCCAAAAATCTTTACCTCCTTGCACCTGATGGCATGGTACCTATCTGGTTCTCGGAAGCAGAGCAGCAGTGCTCCCAACAAGTGAAAAATGTCCTACTGCGTAGCAGGAGACAAATGACACACAAGACTTGCCTGTACAAATGGCAATGGTTTAACAGTGGTGCGCACACAGGGGAGTCCAACCACCTATGGCTCCGCTCCACTGATACTGGAATACATTATGTACCTGAAACAACAAAATGTATCGCTTTCAGGAAGCAGAGCAGCAGTGCTCCCAACAAGTGAAAAATGTCCTACTGCGTAGCAGGAGACAAATGACACACAAGACTTGCCTGTACAAATGGCAATGGTTTAACAGTGGTGCGCACACAGGGGAGTCCAACCACCTATGGCTCCGCTCCACTGATACTGGAATACATTATGTACCTGAAACAACAAAATGTATCGCTTTCATCGCCTTCGCCCCCCCCCCCATTGATGGGTTCTCCATATTTGCCCACCTCATGTCTAAAAGATTCTGGAAGGGCCTGCAAAACCTTCACCCACCATGTACACCAGCGTTTCTTAAACTGTTCTGAGGCACACCGGTATGCAGCAAGGCAGTCCGAGATGTGCTGCAGAGATATGGCAACCATATGTCCCTTTCTTTCCGGGACAGTCCCGGATTTAAAGATACCCAGTGCTAGCGCGGCAGCCAGGGCACACAGTGTTCAGAGCTACGAGCTCCCATGCAGCATGTGCCACTGTCCGGCAAGTCCCTCCCCCCTCAAGGGAATCTCGCTCCAAGAAATACGCAGTGCAGCAACATGGTTGTCCAATCACACTTGCATGAAGCATTACGTGCTTCTACCATGCTTCACAACAGATACTGCAGTAGCCACTGCAGGCCTCTCCGCAGTCTGTAACAATTAACCGAAGCCCACCTTCCATCTAAATGGATACTCCAGTGCTATACAGTCACCAACAGTGGAGTACCCACGGGAACATCACTCGAAGAAGGAGGAGAAGTTACTCACTTTGTGCAGTAACGATTGTTGACTATCCGATAAGCAAAAGCTTATCGGGGGGAGGACTAATCGACTATCGGAGGCAGCAAGTTGGGGGGAGCAGGAGCCGGTGCTAGGGGGAGTCAGCTTAAAAGTTGGTTCCCCCTACACCATCTCCGTTGTGGGCAGGGGAGGCAGGAGGGTAGCAGGGACTGGGTGTGACCTGGGAATCAGCTGATTCATGGCTTGCGCCTAGTTGCAGATGCGCCTCTGTTTTTTAAATGTATGAAGAGCCTGCTGGCTCAACACATTTAAAAGGCTAAAGCACAGCAGGGGGACCTGATTCCTGGCTCTTGCAGGGTCCCTCTCCCCACTGCTGCACACCCCTCCTCGCTGAGCACCAGCACAGCTAACCCTAATGTGGCTCCCTGCTTATTGACTAATTGACTAATCAATTAGTTGATTAAACTAAATTTAACATCCCTAGTTGGGACCTTACCACCTTGATAAGATGTGGCATGCTAAATGCTTTATGTACAGCCATAGATGCCCATGTGTCAGACCATAACTCTTTTGTGATCAGTTCTGCATTGCAGGGTGTGGTGGTGGTGTGTGCCACAGAAGGCCTGCTGTGAGTGCAGCTGGCAATTGTGCTCTTGGAGGAAGTGAAGTCTGCTTAATACCACAGAGGATTTGAGAAGGGCATGTACTGCTGGGTATCCTAGTGTGCAGAACTGTGTGTGTACTTTAGTGGTGGGAATAGGGAGGCAAGTTGATTTAGACTGATGAGAATTTTTTTTCCTTTCAGGTATCTTTTACCTTCCCAAATATTGCACAATGTTGTGTCGAGCTGCTCTGAGAACCTCCTTCCTCTCTGCTGGACGATACCTCCTCTTCTCACCACACTCCGTCACAGCTGTATCCCAGTCTTGTAAGCACACAAAATCTACTAGCCTGTGCCCTCCTAGGTTATGGTGTGCAAGGGGCATGTGGGGAGTGTCGTTCTCCTCAATTGGGGGCCATGTCAGTGACAATTTGGGGTTTTTTGTTTCCCGCTTATGTGCATTCTCCAAATTATTTTTTTTTCTGTAGGTCAGCAACCCTGACCCAAAAATGGTTCTCCCACCCCTGCTCTAAAGGGAACTCCAATTTAAGCCAATGGGGAGGAGTTGTTTGAGTCATTTGTCCCTAAAAACCTCATTCCTCATATCCATTACTTCAGCTGAGAAAATATGGGGGTTAGGAGTCTTGATGGTTGATCCATTGTACATGGTGTTCTTTGCCCTAAGGCACGAGAAGTCATTTGTGAGCAAGACACGAGAAGTCATTCTTCTGCTCTACTCTGCGCTGGTTAGGCCTCAATTGGAGTATTATGTTCAGTTCTGGGCACCGCATTTCAAGAAATGTGGAGAAATTGGAGAGGGTCCAGAGAAGAGCAACGAGAATGATGAAAGGTCTAGAGAACATGACCTATGAGGGAAGGCTGAAGGAATTGGGTTTGTTTAGTTTAGAAAAGAGAAGATTGAGGGGGGCCTGATAGCAGTTTTCAGATATCTAAGAGTGTCATAAGGAGGAGGAAGAAAACTTGTTCATCTTGGCATCTGGTGATAGAACAAGAAGCAATGGGCTTAAACTGCAGCAAGGGAGGCTTAGGTTGGACATTAGGAAAAAGTTCCTAACTGTCAGGGTAGTCAAACACAGGAATAAATTGCCCAGGGAGGTTGTGGAATCTCCATCTGTGGAGATATTTAAGAGTAGGTTAGATAAATGTCTATCAGGGATGTTCTAGACAGTATTTGGTCCTGCCATGAGGGCAGGGGACTGGACTCGATGACCTCTTGAGGTCCCTTCCAGTCCTAGTATTCAATGATTCTGTGATTGACACTTTTCCTGTCTGCCTGAAGGTTTTTCCAAGTTCCATGTTAATCAAGAGGTTCACTTACTGGAATTTTATCCATGAGCCTTGTGACTGGTGTGGAGAAAGTGAATAAGGAAATGTTTGTTCACCCTTGTTCACCCTTCCATAACACACAAACTAGCAGTCACCCAATAAAATTAATAGGCCGGTGGTTTAAAATAACAAAAGGAAGTACTTCACACAATGCATACTCAACCTGTGGTACTATTGCCTGGCTACCAGAGGATGTTTTGAGGGACAAAAATGTAACTGGGTTCAACAAAGAGCTAGATAAAGTTGGTAGAGGATAGGTCCTTCAATGACTATTAGACAAAGTAGTAAGGGATGCAGTTCCAGTGCTGTGGGTGTCCCTAAGCCTCTCACTTCCATATGCTAGAACTGAATGATTCCTTTGTTCTTTTCATTCTCTCTGAAGTACTGGGAGTTGTCAGTGGTCTGCCTACTGGGTTAAATGGGCCATTGGTCTGGGTCTTACATACTGTGGTGTGTATCAGGCCCAGCAATGGCTTACATTATTGCTTTTTTAGTCACTTGGAAACTGGATACATTTCAGGGGCTGGGAAGTCATAATAAAGAGTGCCCATTGTGGCATTTTAGGTTCATGGTGGGGTAATCCTGACAGATATGGGGTTGGAAAGTCTGAAGTAAGTGTTCAAAGTTATGAGTTTAACATTTGGGATTGTGGGATTTGTTCCTGTCTCTCATATTTTTGTTTGTTTTTAACCACAGGCTTCCCTGTCCATAACCTCGTATTAAGGAATGAATCTATCCGTTGCTGGAGCAACATCCCATTTATCACCGTGCCCCTCAGTCGAACCCATGGCAAGTCATTTGCACATCGCAGTGAGCTGAAGCATGCTAAACGAATTGTGGTGAAGCTGGGGAGCGCTGTTGTGACTCGAGGAGATGAGTGTGGATTGGCTCTTGGGCGGTTGGCATCTATTGTTGAGCAGGTAACTTTATGGCTCTAAAATTAAGTGCTCTTGCAAACTGGCTAGTCAGTGTCTCCTTAAAATGTGTACATTAAAATGTAGCAGGAGACTTGAACTGCCATTTCTATCATACTGTGGCAAAACTGAGATGTGTACAGAAGAGCAAGCTGTAATGAGGCAGACGTGTGGCCTAATCTATGTAAAGAGTGGTGCAAGAGGAGAACATGTAGTACGCAGAAATAATCTAGTGGGAGTTCTGTCTTCAGTTGGAGGAGGAAGAACCCTCAGGGAATAAAAGGGAAATATTTTGCCCTAGGGCCTAGGCTGAAGTCAGAAGTGAGTATCTCCTGTTTCCACTTCATATGTTGAAGAATACCTGTGGAATATAATCCCAATGAATAGTGTTCCATCAGCTTCATTGATTGCAATTACCTCAGCCAAGAGAGTTTTGGCGTTGAGCGCCCTCACATCAGAACCCCCATACGGTTTTCTTTAAGGACAAGGTTGGGCTGAAGATGGGGAGGTGTGGTGGGTTCCAGTGTATAAGTCTTGTCCTGAAGGCAGGGTAATGGGCTGGGTTCCAGCATGGCTCAGAGGATAGGGCATTTGCCTGGGGAGCCAAGGGTGGCAGGTTCAAGCCCTGCCCCAGGAGCCCCACCCAGCATTCCTCCCCAAGGTAGTCTCACTTTTTCATATGTCTCAGGACATTTACCTACCAATTTTCTTCCCGAAACCCCACCCCACGCCTAGAGAGCCATCCATACACTCTCTAGATGTTAGATAGGCTCTAGCATTTTATATAGAAAGAACAAGAGCGTTCCGTAGATCTCCACAACTTTTTATTTCAGTAGACAAGAGGATGAAGGGCTCTCCAGTATCGGCCCAGTGCTTATTCTCCTGGACCACTTCCTCCATTAGAGCTGGTTTCCTCTTTATTTGGCACTGGTGAGGCCACATCTGGAGTATTGCGTCCAATTCTGGGGCCCACAAATACAGAAAGAATGTGGACACATTGGAAAGGGCCCAGTGGAGGGCAGCCAAAATGATAAGGGGGCTGTACCACATGACCTACAAGGACAGTCTGAGGGATTTGCGCTTATTTATTCTGCAGAAGAGAAGAGAGAGGGGAGATTTGATACCAGTCTTCAACTTCCTGAAGGGAGGTTCCAAAGAGGATGGAGAGAGGCTGTTCTCAGTGGTAGCAGGTGGCAGAACAAGGAGCAATGGTCTCAAGTTAGAGTGGGAGATCTAGTTTGGATATTAGGAAAAACTATTGCCCTCGGAGGGTGGGGAAGCACTGAGATGGGTTACCTAGGGAGGTGGTGGAATCTCCATCCCTAGAGGCTTTTAAGTCTTGGCTTGACAAAGCCCTGGCTGGGATGATCTAGTTGGGATTGGTCCTGCTTTGGGCAGGGGGCTGGACTCGATGACTCCTGAGGTCTCTTCCAGCCTTAGGATTCTATGAATTCTGTTATTTTACCACCTTGCGGGTAGGCCGTGCCCCTGCTGATGGCTCATTCCACGAGAGCACATGAGTTGTCCAGAATGTTTGTTGCATAGGTGCCCATTCTTGACATTTGCACAGCAGTGATGTGATCCTCTGTGCACACGTTTTCCAATCACT